ACCAGTTTGCTCTGTGGAAATCTACCTTAGAGCTGATTCTAAAACACATATGGCCAGAAACAGAGGGCTGGCCCCCTTCCCTTGCTCGCAGCATTCATCACCGCCTTTGGGGCTCTACTCTCAGCCCTCCCTTCCCTCTCAAGCTTGAGCCTAAACCCAGCAGATGGTCACTAGCGCAGGACAGCATCCTGGTGCTTCTGTGGCTGCCAGTACGGTCACCCTGTCTCCCTGCTCTCCGTCAAGGGAACAACAGTGCCCCCATCCCCTGAGCACTCACTGCGTGCTAGGCACTAAGGTTTCCTGCGGATTAGCTCGGGGCATCCTCCCACATCCCTGTTGTAGAGATGAGATGACCTAAGCACAGAGAGGTTGCGTAGCTTGCTCAAAGTCACACAGCTAACTGCAGACTGTGCTATAACAGACATCCTGCTCCAAGTCAACTGTACCTCTTTCCAAAGTATGGATTTTCCAATATAGTTATAATTTGATTGTAAACACTTCTCCAAGGTCATTGCTACACATCAATTTTTTTAAAAACAGCTTTATGAGATATAATTGACATGGAATAAAATGCACATGTTTAAAGTACAATTTGATATGCTTTGAGATAGGCAAACACCCGTGAAATCACTCCTGCAATCGAGATAGTGATCAGATTCATCACCTAAAGTTTCCTCATACCAAGGGACTTCCCCAGTGGTCCAGTGGCTAAGACTCCGCGCTCCAGATTCAGGGCACCTGGGTTCAATCCCTGGTCAGGGAACTAGATCCCACATGCTGCAACTGAAAGTTTCCTCATGCCGAATCCCTCCCTCCTGCTCCTGTCGGCCACACTCAGCCAGGCAACCACTGATCCGCTGTCACTGCAGTTTGCGTTTCCTAAAATTTTATGTAAACGACTGGCATCTTTCCCTCAGCATAATTATTTTGCATAGAGAACATTTACCAAGATAGACCATAATCTGGGCCATAAACCAATAAATTAAATAAAAGGAAACTATGTTCTCTGACCACAGTGGAATTAAATATTAGAAATCAATAACAAGGGCTTCCCTGGTGGCACAGTGGTTAGGAATCCACCTGCCAATGCAGAGGACACGAGTTCGAGCCCTGGTCTGGGAAGATTCCACATGCCGTGGAGCAACTAAGCCCGTGCGCCACAACTAGTGAGCCTGCGCTCTAGAGCCCACGTGCTGCAACTGCTGAAGCCCTAGAGCCCATGCTCCGCAACAAGGGAAGCCACCGCAATGAGCAGCCCTCGCAGCACAACGAAAAGTAGCCCCCACTTGCCGCAATTAGAGAAAGCCTGTGTGCAGAAACAAAGACCTAACACAACCAAAAAAAAAAAAAAAATCAGTAACAAAAAAGACATCTGGAAAACCTCCAAGTATTTGGAAACTAACACATTTATAAATTACCCATGGGTCAAAGAAGAAATCAAAAGGAAAATCAGAAAATTATTTATTTACTTTAATAAACATGTATACAGCAGTTACTGTGTGCCAGGCCCTGTCTTGGGCCATTTCCAAAAACAGAATGTGCTCATTTAGGCCTCATAACAACCCTATGAGGAAGACACTTGCACACCCATTTTTCAGACGCTGAACCCAAGGCACAGAGGGAGTAGGTGACTTGCCTGGGTCACGCAGATAGGCAGTGGCAGAGCTGGGATTTGAATCTGGGACACCTGCATCCAGGGTCCGTGCCTTGTGTCCCACTTTATCAATGGAGGGACACTGAAAGGCTTCAAATGGTAGAGAAAAATGGTCAGATTCCTGACAGCAAGATCACTTTGGGATGAGTTCAACAAACATTTAGGAGCTAAATCTGCAGGACTTGGAGATGTGTTAGTGTTGGGAGCGCAGGAGACGGCTGCGTGCAAAAGGAAGAAGAGAGAGTGGACGGCAGGGCTGCAGGGCTCAGCAGTGCCCATGCCAGGAGGGAAGGGGCCCCACATCCTGAGGACCTGTTTCCATCAGGGGATGGGCGGGGCCTGGTAGAAAGGTAAGATGGGGGTGCGCAGGGGTCCCTAAGGAAATTCTTGCGGAAGGTCCACTAGAACACTGAGAGGGGATGGTGTTTCAGGTGGAAGGAAGGGTGTATGCACGGCGCTGTGGGGCCAGCTTGTGGAGTCAGGTTTAAAAGGAGAGCGATGCGGAGCACAGCGGGAACTGAGCACCGGTGGGCGGCAGGGGCACCCACAAGGCCTGGCAGGCCTGGGTAAGGAGCTGTCTTTCTCTCTGGAGTGACGGGGTCAGCCAGTGTCTGGGGAGTGTGTGCAGGAGGGGACTGACGGGGCCAGATCTGGGCTCTCACAGCTCGCCCCAGCTACAGAGCGGAGACACACCAGAGGAGAGGCAGGAAGCAGTCTGGCGGCTACGGAGGGCTTCCAGGTGAGCGGCTTCCAAGCACTGGGGGAGGGGTGGGGGACGAGGATGGAGGAAAGTGGACAGACTCAAGAGGTATCTAGGAGATAGAAGTGGCAGGGACCACGCCAGGTCCCCTGCGGGGGTGCCTGGGGTTCTAGAAGGTGGTGGGATAGTCATCTGGCTAGTGAGCCCTGGAAGAAAGCCAGGTAGGTGGGGGAAGTGAGGTCAGCACCCGAGTCTGGAGTTGGAAGAGGGCCAGCGAAAGGCCAAGGGGAGAGGACGAGTCTGAAGAGGGGGCAGCGAAGGAGCAGCGGGGACGAGGGACACCCCAGCGTGCTGCTGGTATAACCAAGCGGAGGGGTCGGGAGGGCACCGGCGGTTGGTGTGGAACCGGTCCCAGGCGTCCGGAGGGACGAGACCAAAACGATCCTTGTACTCAGCGACTGAGGTAGGCTGGCAGGCAGGCGAGAGCCGGAGCGCAAGAGGATTTGGAAGAAGGGTGTTAAGGCCGGAGCTTGCTGGGAAGCCCTGGCTCCCCAAGCGGCCTCTGGAGGAGAGGGGAGAAAGCTCCAGAAACCGAGAATTTCACAGCCGGGGCCTTCAACGGCTCATCTACAAGAAATCTTACACCTCCCGGGCAGTGGCCCGAGTGGAGTGGAAAGATGCGGGCCGGGCCTCCGAGTCAGGAGAACAGGAGGGCGGCTGCCGGGCTACAAGAGGGGAGCCCTTGCGCGGCTGACAGTGGCAGTGGCGACAACGAAACTTCAGCGCTACCACCCCATCTCCCCTCCCCCGCTCCCTCTCCTCTTCCTCCCCGCTGCCCGCCCCCAGCCCAGGCCGCAGGGAAAACCCGGGCCGCCGGGAGCTTCCACACACAGCTGGGGCCAGAAACACATTTTACAACGCACCCCAGCGAACGATAACAACCCCCATCTACCCTCACCACGTGGCTGGTAGTTTCCAGGCTATTTTGCCTGTTTTAACGCTAGTCAGGACGCCCTGCGTTGATTTCACTGCCTCCTGAAGGGTCTCCAGCCCCAGCGGAGAACCCTGTTGCTGGAAAAGCTGGGTTTCTCTGGAGACTAGGAAGTGGAGGGAGTCGTCAGTCAAGTTTGTTTACAACCTAAGGAGCTTCCAGATTGTTCCGGGGGGAGGGGGGGCAATGGTGGGAGGAGTTAGAGACAAAGGAGCCGGGAGGAGGGGGAGGGTTTACCGGGAGAGGCCTGGGCGGGGCAGGGGTGCACTGCCGGGCGTTGGTTTCCTCAACGGTGAACAGCCCCCGCCCCCGCTTACTGACCTGGGTGAAGCCCAGAGACGCCACCCCGCCTCCAAAATTCTTCCGTGATCTGGCACTATTCTAAACACGTTTGGAATTCCCATTAAGAAATTGGCTCTTAAAGCAAGTTAATCACCCCAACCATGAATTACATACTTCGTATGGAAACCTCAAACTACACAAAAGAATAAGGAAAAGAGATGAGCTTTACAAAATCATGATGCGCGTAGCTGGGTCAGTTTGCATGGTCACCACGTCCCAGAATTCCAGACTAGGGCCCGCAACGCGTTGAAGGATACGATTTTACAACAAACCCAAAGTAGGTACAAGTCCCCAAGGGACTGAGCAAGAGCTGGGAGAATTCCGTATTTTGTGTCCGTTTCAACATCTCTTCCTGGTCGCAGCGGGGCCTAAGGACAGGACCAGTCCCCAAATACGAGCGGTGGCCTGCCTTGAGGTGGGGTCTATAGCGATGTGTGGGGAAGCCCTCGTTCCCCATCCCGCCTCAGCTTCAGAAACAGCTGCACGGGAGCCCCACGAGGCCCAGGGGTCCCCTTTGCTCCACATGCACATACGCGGGTCACCCCTCGCTCACACACCTCTGCACCCCACACCCAGGCCGGAGCCCCGGGCCTCTGCATAACGAGGCTCTGGCAGGCACCTGTTGCCAGAATTCCTGTACCCTGAACCCATAATCGCTGACCCCGGCAAAAAAGTGCGCCCCGTACCTCCCGAAACAGCCCTGGATGCCCAATCGCTGCCCCGGGCCCCCAAACCCCTAACCGTGGCTCTGAGCCTCTGATCAGTGCGCCGGGCGTATACATGTGACACAGGACCGGACCCCTCACCCCTGCTTCGATTTCCTACATGCGGCCTCAAGGCCCCCAACCTGGCCCCGGGCCCCCAGTCTCGGGCCCTGACGGTGGAGGACCCGAAGCTTCCACAATCTGGGGACACGTTTTAACCACCGAGAGTTTACTTTTCTGCACTTCACAGAGCCGCGAGCACGGGCACTCAGTCCCCGGGCACTCAGTCCCCGGGCACTCAGCCCCCGGTCGCACTCCCCGCGGCCTGGACAGGGTTGGCGGTTCACCAGGGCGGCCGTTGGGCCGACGCGCGCCGAGCAGGGGTCGTGGGGGCGGGGCCGACGGCGCGCAGAACGCAGTGGGCGCGGGGGCAGGGCTAGGGGTGATGGCCCCGGAAGGCGCGAGACCTTCCCGGGAGCTCCGGGCCGCGCAGGCGTCCTGCGGTCCGCGCGGGCGCGCGCGGCGCGGCCGTGGGGGGCGGGGCGCGAGGGCGTGGGGCCGCGCGGGCCCAGGGTAGGGGCGGGCGGCGTCCAGGGCGCAGGCGCAGGCGCGCGGCCGCGGCGGCGGTTGGGGAGGGTTCTTCCGGAAGGTTCGGGAGGCTTCTGGAAAAGGCGCCGCGCGCTGGGCGGGCTCGCCTCTATATAAGGGAGGCGCGGGGACGGCGCGCCAGTTGCTTGTACGTCCTGGTGTTGCGTCGCTGCGGAGCCTTTGCGGTCCTTCAGCCGAGGTGAGGGGGCGGCGGGCGGGGGCTCTTCGCGCGGGGGGGGCTCCGGAGGGGGTGGACTCCACGGTGGGGGGGCTCCACGGGGATCCGGGGCCGGGCGGGAGACGGCGGCGGGTGCAACCCCCTCCGCCGGGGCCCCTCGGCAGGCGGTGCCGGGGCGGCCGTGGCGTCTCGCAGGCCTCGGGCCTGCTGCGGCCTTTCCTCCCGTCTCCGCTGCGGGAGCGGGCGGGCCTTGGGGCTCTGGGGGAGCGGGGGCGGGGGCCGGGGCCGCGGGGGCCTGGGTTCTGCGCCTTGGGAGGAGTCCCCGGGCCCGGTTCCCAGCCGGCGGAGGGGGGGGGGTGTCATGGCGGAGTCGCGCGGGAGCGGCGCCCGTGCGGCCGGCGTGGGCTGCGGCGGCTCTGGGGCCCCGGAATGAGGTCATCCCTTTGTCAGCCTGTGCCTCGTGCGCGCACCGGTTTCCGAAGCGGGCGCGGGACGTGGCGGGACCCCGTTCGGCGGCCTCACTGGCTCCGTGTCCTCTCCAGATGCCCGAGGAAACCCAGACCCAAGACCAGCCGATGGAGGAGGAGGAGGTGGAGACGTTCGCCTTCCAGGCGGAAATTGCCCAGTTGATGTCGCTGATCATCAACACATTCTACTCGAATAAAGAGATCTTTTTGAGGGAGCTTATTTCAAATTCGTCCGACGTAAGTCTTTCAATGTAGAATTTGGATTTAGCTTCGGTATAAAATTCACCGTTTAGAGGCCTTGTGCGTAATATTCTGTTTCTTAAATAGGCTCTGGACAAGATCAGGTATGAGAGCTTGACAGATCCCAGTAAACTAGATTCTGGGAAAGAGCTGCATATTAACCTCATTCCGAACAAGCAAGATCGGACGCTCACTATTGTGGACACCGGGATTGGAATGACCAAGGCCGATTTGATCAACAATCTTGGTACCATTGCCAAGTCTGGGACCAAGGCGTTCATGGAGGCTTTGCAGGCTGGTGCAGATATTTCTATGATTGGCCAGTTTGGTGTCGGGTTTTATTCGGCCTATTTGGTGGCCGAGAAAGTGACCGTTATCACCAAACATAACGATGATGAGCAGTATGCCTGGGAGTCTTCCGCAGGAGGATCCTTCACAGTGAGGACTGATACAGGTGGGCATCCGGTAGACATCTTACTGGGTCAGTCGTTTGTGGGGGGTGGGGTGCTATAGGCAGTGGACCCCTGAAGGTGCTGTGAAGTTTGTGTTTAAAAAAAAAAACAAAAAAAACAAATTCGTGTTTTCCTTAAGTGGGATAGCCTGTTCTTGCGGTTGTTTATTTTGGCCGTTAACTGCTCTGGGAGTCTTTCCGTTAGCAGTAAGGGTAAACCCCTGCTTCATAGATGTTGAAATGAGTGCTGGGAGAGCTAGATTGATGCTATATGTTCGTTAACCTTGCTTAGGCCATTGAGATTGAAATTGAGCTCATTTCTCCATTTCCTTTACAGGAGAACCTATGGGTCGTGGAACAAAAGTTATTCTGCATCTTAAAGAAGACCAAACTGAGTACTTAGAGGAACGGAGAATAAAAGAGATTGTGAAGAAGCACTCTCAGTTTATTGGCTATCCCATCACTCTCTTTGTGAGTTTCTGTATATTTTCACATAGGAAACCAAAGCGACTGAGTTGAAATCTTTAGTCTTTAGAGTCCTTGGTAAAAGAAGAGTTCTGAATTTGCAGTATTTATTGGGCGGGTGGGTGGAGCTCTGTCTTACTCTGTCCAGGCACCCAGGCCTATTGAGATACATCAGAAACTGATGAGTAGCTTTCTGGCTACTTACTGCTTTCAGTTGGTTTTGGGTGTAAGTGCCTCAGTGCTGTTTAGCTTATTTTTTTTAGTTCTGGGATGGAGAGATGATGTGATTTACTTATGTCTTTTGAAGGTGGAGAAGGAACGTGATAAAGAAGTCAGTGATGATGAGGCAGAAGAAAAGGAAGACAAAGAAGAAGAAAAGGAAAAAGAAGAAAAGGAGTCTGAGGACAAACCTGAGATAGAAGATGTTGGCTCTGATGAAGAGGAAGAAGAAAAGAAGGATGGTGACAAGAAAAAGAAAAAGAAGATCAAGGAGAAATACATTGATCAAGAAGAACTGAACAAAACAAAGCCGATTTGGACCAGAAATCCTGATGACATTAGTAATGAAGAGTATGGAGAGTTCTACAAGAGCTTGACCAACGACTGGGAAGATCACTTGGCAGTGAAGGTGAGTGCTGAGAGCTTCAAAGCTAGTGTCTGCAGGTGGTCTGCCTCAAACTGTTAAATTTGAGGGTGGTTTCTGGCAGCTTTCTCTTGCCCACTGCCCCATCCTTCTCCCGAAGTCTTGAAGTTCTGTAACTGCAAGTGTTTGGCTCTGGGGTTTAAGTGGTACCTGTTGGTGAAAGCTGATGGCATTGTCTTGATCTTGGCTGTGTTTTATTACAGCATTTTTCAGTTGAAGGACAGTTGGAATTCAGAGCTCTTCTTTTTGTCCCAAGACGTGCTCCCTTTGACCTGTTCGAAAACAGAAAGAAAAAGAACAACATTAAGTTGTATGTTCGCAGAGTTTTCATCATGGACAACTGCGAGGAGCTGATCCCTGAGTATCTGAGTAAGTGCGGTTGGGCATAAAGAGCGGTCGCCGTCACAGGTCAGAGTTCAGCCTATCAACTCCCGATTTTTAAAGGGGAAAAAATCGTTCGTCTGTGGTTTTTCGGGTTTACGTTTTTTGTCGATTTTGTCCTTGGAGTGACCTTGAGCGCATTTGGTCTGTTTTTTCAGACTTCATCAGAGGCGTGGTGGACTCGGAGGATCTCCCTTTAAACATTTCCCGTGAGATGTTGCAACAAAGCAAAATTTTGAAAGTTATTAGGAAGAATTTGGTCAAAAAATGCTTAGAACTCTTCACTGAACTGGCAGAAGATAAAGAGAACTACAAGAAGTTTTATGAGCAGTTCTCTAAAAACATTAAGGTTAGTTGTGAACACACTTGACCATTAGGACTGGTAGTCAAACTGGCTTCTCGTTTTAAATGATTTTTTAATGCAGAGAAAGTCTTCCTAAGTTCACCTGTTTTTCAGCTTGGAATACATGAAGATTCTCAAAATCGAAAGAAACTTTCAGAGCTGTTGAGGTACTACACTTCTGCTTCTGGTGATGAGATGGTTTCCCTCAAGGACTACTGCACAAGGATGAAGGAAAACCAGAAACACATCTATTACATCACAGGTAATGGGCAGTAAATGTTAGTCGTATCTTTGTGCTTGTGATCCCATAGGAACAGTTGGGTGTGTTTTCTACCCATGTGGTGTTACATATAAATTAGTAGGGGTTACTATAGGCAACATAGTGCGAGCTAGCTCTTGTTTGTGGTTAGATCAAACTACATAGGAAAAAAGAAAAGGAAATGAAACTGCTTCCTGTTAAGGATCTAAAACTTTTTCATATATCAGGTGAGACTAAGGACCAGGTAGCTAACTCTGCCTTTGTGGAGCGTCTTCGGAAGCATGGCTTGGAAGTGATCTACATGATCGAGCCTATTGATGAGTATTGTGTGCAACAGCTGAAGGAGTTTGAGGGGAAGACCTTAGTGTCAGTCACCAAAGAGGGCCTGGAACTTCCAGAGGACGAAGAAGAGAAAAAGAAACAGGAAGAAAAAAAGACAAAGTTTGAAAACCTCTGCAAAATCATGAAGGACATCTTGGAGAAGAAAGTTGAAAAGGTGTGTGAATACAGTCTTCTCACCTACATTTAAAAGGAGTGTCAGGTGTTTTTCAAACTGAAGTTTTCTTAACTTACTAATAGAAAACTTTAGCATTTCCATTTAGTGATGGATATAGATCTTAAGATTCTTAAAGACTGGAAGTGTAAGAGAACTCACAGGAAGAAAGCGTCAGGTATCTGAGTTTGCAGATGGTATTTCTGATTCGTCAATACTGAAGTTCCTTAAATGTTCATAATGAAGCTGGTAACAAGTACTTACAAGTTAGAATATGAAATCTGCTGAGGCCTCGTTATCACTGTTTTGATTGTAGGTGGTCGTGTCTAACCGATTGGTGACATCCCCGTGCTGCATTGTCACAAGCACATATGGCTGGACAGCAAACATGGAAAGGATCATGAAGGCTCAGGCGCTGAGAGACAACTCAACAATGGGTTACATGGCAGCGAAGAAGCACCTGGAGATAAACCCTGACCATTCCATCATTGAGACCTTGAGGCAAAAGGCAGAGGCTGACAAGAATGACAAGTCTGTGAAGGATCTGGTCATCCTGCTGTACGAAACGGCGCTCCTGTCTTCTGGCTTCAGTCTAGAGGATCCGCAGACACATGCTAACAGGATCTATAGGATGATCAAACTTGGTCTTGGTAAGCCTTGTGCAAATACCACGTGTCAATACTATTGGAAAAGCTTAAACACATGACTGTTGAAAGGGTAACATAACTTTCAGCAATTTGAACAAAGTTGGGCTGTCCCATTCAGTTTGGGAAACCCTAAGTCACATGAGTTAAACGGGTGTAAAATAGGCCTTTTGATTGTACAGGATAAAGAATGAAACAGGGTCATACACCCTGTAAAGTAGTAATTGCTCAGCCTTGGAAAGTGGGTATGAACTGGCAGTGTTGGGATAGTTAGGTGGCTTTAGGAAATCTAATCCATGGTGTTTATTTCCAAAAAGGTATTGATGAAGATGACCCCACTGCTGACGACAGCAGTGCTGCCGTAACTGAGGAGATGCCGCCCCTCGAAGGAGACGATGACACGTCCCGCATGGAAGAAGTAGACTGAGCTCTGCCTGAGGATTACGTGGCCGCGTGTTCAACACTCTTGTCTTCATTTCTTCTGATAATATGTTTTCAAGTATTTCTTTATTTTTGTTAACATTTAAAAACCTGTATGGCATGACAACTACTTAAGGGAAAGATAAGATTTCTTTCTACTAAGTGTGATACTGTGATACTTTAGGCACTAAAAGCAGAGCTAGTTTTTTTCTAGTTTCATGTTGGCTTATTTTAACAGACGGAAGTAGCGTTTGTTGTAAGGTGTATGTAACCTACGTTAACTTCATGGTCTGAAGTGTGTAGCTATCAGGCGGATTCTTTAGTAGACCAGATCTTCTGTCGCTGAAGTGTTCTGAAGTATATACCTTGATGTTTAAAAGAAAATACTTCTTAAAGCAACTTTCATCTTCTGGGATTTACTTTTTAAACCTTCCATCGCCTGTATTGACTGCATGTGCCAGACCCCTAGCAATTAGTATGTTCAACTGAACCAACTTGATGGGAGTCACTGTCCATACATAGGGCTTGTTTTCCACAGAAAAGTAGTGTTGAGAGTAGCAGAATTATAAGCCTATCTAGGCATGTTGTAAAGCTGTTTGAAAAGTGACTCGGAGCAAGTTTTGTGAATGGAGACGTAGCGCTCAAGTCACATTCTGCTTTAAAAGTTGTAACAAATACAGATAAATTAAAAAGAACTTATGTGAAAATGTCTTATTTTGGGGGGGGGGGGAGAGTATAGATGACGGGATGGTCCCAGAATGTAAAATGTTAGGTGTGTACATCTTGCCTACGAGGAGCCAAGGAAGTAGATGATTGGTGTTGACTGCCGGAGTCTTACTACTGCGATCTTCCCAGGGTGCACTCTCAGGGGGCAGGTGGGGGATGAGCATACGTTCTCGTGATGTGTTTTTTGGGGATTTTTGTTTTTGTTTTTGTTTTTTTTTGGCTGTGCAGCATGCAGGATCTTAGGTGGTATCTTAGTTCCCTGACCAGGGATTGAACCCACACCCCCTGCAATGGAAGCTTGGAGTCTTGACTACTGGACGACCAGGGAATTCCCAGAGCATATATCCTTAAAAGACACAGATGAGAACAGGTGAATCTGACACTATGTGTTAAATTTCCTAATAACAGCCATTGTCCCGTAGGATTTTCATGTCCAAACTGTGCTTTGACGGTATTTGTGAAACGTATCTGATGCTCTAAATATCGTCTCTGAACTACCTTGGCCTTAGGAATGTCTGGAAGTTCTGTACCACGCGTACTTATTGAGTGCCGTTCCACCTGAAACCACCTCTGCTCCTGGGCCTCTGGTTCCTTATTGAGCGTCGGGCGAGGTGGCTGTAGAGAAGGTGCCGATAGCTGTGAGCAGCGGTTGGAGAGGCGTAAGCTGTGGGAAAGTTGGTGGTAGCAGCTCTGTACAGGATCTGGATCCTGAGCCTAAGACCACGTGAAGAGTGACCGTGATTAATAGGGGGCAGGGAGAGGACTTGAGTGTCTTTATACTGCGGAAGATGTCACCTAGTGTTCAGTGGGTACCAAGTGCCTGGTAAAGTAATCGCCTTTAATCCTTGTAATCTAATGCAGCGGAAGTTCTTACCTCCCACTCGTCTAAGGAGAGAATTCAGGTGTCCACGCTGTTCAGGAATTAGGAATTGAAAGGCCAGGGCAAAGGGGTAGTTTTCTTCCATGTTTCCCGTGCCTAGTAGGAATATAGAGGATTCCACTTAAATCAAAAGGAACATTTCAGAGAAACAAACTGAGAGCCTCTATAAATAGTCTCCCACTTAAAAAAAGATCTCCCACTGAGCATGTTTTCTGAGTTACTGGAAAGCATTTATGGCAGATACGTGTACTTTGGAACTGTACTACCCCCAGAACTCGTGTGCCAGTGATTGGACCATGGAGACCGTGATGCCCAGCCCCGGCGGGGGTGGCGGGGGTGAGGCGTTGAGCTGAAGGACACACGAACACGACCTGGAGGCGATGCTCCTCAGGCTGGCAGGGTCTTGAGCCAGCTGCTGCCAAGTCCAGGGTTAGGTCCCACCCTGCCTAGGAGAGTAGCGAGTGCTGAAAAGCAGAGACAAAGGTGTGGTGCGAGGTGGAAAAACATGCCTTATTCACAGGTTATGTGGCTGTGAGCACAATAGGAAAGGAATCTACAAAATTGGTACAAGAGTAAGTACAGCAAAATCCTAAGGTACGAGATCAAATTGAAATTTTGTTAGCAACAAGAAAGTCATTAATATTTTAAAATGCATAATACCATATAGGAATAAATTTTACAAGAAGTTTTGCAAGTCCTGTATGCTGAGAACTGAGAAAACAAGAGACCTAGGTAAACAAAGTGGAAAAAGCCAGACAGAAACAGCCACCTACTGTGATTGCATTTTCGTAAAACTCTAGAAGAGGCACAACTACGACAACAAAAAGCAGCTCAGTGGGTTGCCTGGCGCCAGGAGTCCTAGTAGGGACGTAACTGCAGAGGGACAAGATTCCGTGCCCCAAAACTTGAGGCGATGGCTGCACAGCTGTATATGTTTATTAAAATTTAAAGTACACAAAATGGGTGAATTTTAACGGGGTGTGGTCCATGAGTGTACATGATTAGCAAATGAAAAAAGCAATGCAAAGGTATAGAAAGCAGTCTATTGGGGTTCAAAAGTGACTGAGCCGGCCATGTCCTGCACCTCATTACTTGTAAATTGGAGCCGAGGTACCTTAAAAGCCTGTTCTGGCGCTTACTAGGTAGTGGGCTTAGCAGGTGCCTGGTCAGGTAGGACCTTTCCTCCTGTTGTGGGTCCTGTGAGGTTGCCTGCCTTACTCGGGCTCAGGTCCGCAAGTGCCAGTCCCCTCTAGCTAACTGTGCCCTTGCTGTCTCTCGGGCCTCAACTTTCAGTAGTTCCTACCAAGCACGGATTTGTCACGTTTTGATTGAATGCCACTGAAGGACTGGCCCTGCACACAGATGAGAGGTGTGTCACTGGGGAAGGTGGCCACGGTGAAGGCCAAGGAGCCCCAACTGAGGTGGAAGCACAGAGCTAGGAGGGGTTAGCTGGTGGGGCAGGGCCGGGGAGGGGGGTGCTCCAGGAAGGGGGTGGCAGCTGATACAAAGCTGACCCCACTTCAACAGAAGTGGGGGGCTTCCCAGCATAGTGAGCCAGGCTTGAGAGCCTGGATGTGTTGAGATTTGGGGAACACATGGGCATCTGAGGAGAGAAAGCTGGAAAGTGAAACTGATTAACTGTGTGTGCCTTGAATGGGAACCATTAGCCTCGGGCCTGGATTGGAGACTGTCCAGCAACTTAGCCAATGGGAAGGCAGTTGCTATGGTCTGCCATGGGGCTGCTTTTTTAGGACGGGGGGTGGGGGCCCATGCCCACCCCTTGAGAAACGTCCTCAATACCAGGAATACTGAGGGGATTTGGTAGGTCAGCTCCACCAAGTCTGAAGTTGTTTCATCTTCGTGAGGTGCCCCTTATTCCATTTTATCTTACGGGTGGGAAGAATCCTACTGATGGTACCAGGGCGCAAGCACGCCAGCTCCCACTGGGTTCTCTATCCCGCAGCCCCCGAGCTAGGGTCTGACGACCTTGCCTCCAAAGATTGAGGTTTAGGAAGAGCCAATAGGACCAGTCCTGACTTCCAAGAATAGAGATGTTTGTTTTGTTCTCTTATGTATCCCAGGTACTTAGTGTTTGGCACATGGCAGGCACTCAAATATTTGTTAACAAATTAGTGTAAGCACTTCACAGTTTACAAACACTTTAACTTACAGTTTCTAATTGTTTTATTTTGGAGATTTCCAAAACACATGCAAAAAGCAGAGAGGGACACGTAGATGTTGACAAGGACGTGGAGAAATTGGACCCTCAACACGCTGCTGATGGGAGTGGAAAATGGTGCCCTTCTGGAAAACAGCCTGGCACTGCCTGGAAAAGTGAAGCATAGAATCACCATATGATCCAGCAATTCCACTCTTAGGTATCTACCCAGGAGAAATGGAAAACATGTCCACAAAAACACACAACAGTCCTCCCTGGGTATCTGTCCCTCAGGGGCTTGGTTCCGGGACCCCCAAGAATATCAAAATCTGAGGAGCTGAAGTCCTTATATAAATGATGTCGTCAGCCCTCCGTATCCTCAGGATATGTGTACACACGTTTTCATAGCAGCGTTACTCATAAAAGCCAAAAGGTGGAAACAAACCAAATGTCCATCAATGGATGGATGAATGGATAAATAAATGTGGTATAACGGTGCAATGGAATATTATTTGGAATATTGTTGCCGTAGAAAGAATGAACCTTGAAAACCATGCCAAGTGAACGAAGCCAGTCACAAAAGGCCACGAATTTACTGTATGATCTTAACTCATGAAGTGTCCAGAATAGGCAAATCCGTAGAGACAGAACGTAGCAGCTGCCTGGCTGGCCGGGACTTCGGGGAAGAGCCGTGGAGAGTGAGCACTTAATGAGTACAGAGTTTCTGGGGTGATCATAGTGTTGAAAAATCGATTGTGATGGCTGTGCAATACTGTGAATATAGTAAAAGTCACTGAACTGTACACTTTAAAGTGAATGAATTATATAGTATGTGAATATCTCAAACAGTTATTGAAAAAATGTAAAAGAGTTTGGTGGTCCCTCAAAAAATGAACAATTACCATATGATCCAGCAATTCACTTCTGGGTATATACTCAGAAAGCAGTGACTCAAAAAGGTATTTGTACACCAGTGTTCATAGCAGTGTCATTCATATTAGCCAAAAGGTAGAAACAATCCAAACACACTCATCAGTGAATTAATGGATAAACAAAATGTGGTACATACACACAATGAAATATTATCCAGCCTTAAAGAGGAGAGATCTTCTGGCACATGCTATGACATGGATAAATCTTGAGGACAGTAAGCTACATGAACTAAGCCAGACATGGAAGGACAAATACTGTATTTATGATTCCACTTACTTCTTTTTATTAATTAAATTTTCTTTTCTTTTTTTTTTTTTTTGGCTCTGGTGCATGCAGGATCTTAGTTCCCTGACCAGGGATCAAACCTGTGCCCCCTGCAGTGGAAGCTCGGAGTCTTAACCATTGGACTGCCAGGGAAGTCCCCTGTATGATTCCACTTAATATGAGGTCCCTGGAGCCGTCAAATTCATAGAGACACAGTGGAATAGTGGTTGCCAGGGGGTGGGGGAGGGGGAGTTGGTATTTAATGGGGGCAGAGTTCCAGCTGGAGATGATGAAAAAGTTCTGGAGATGGACGGTAGTGGTGGTTGCACAATGTAATTGTATTTGATTCCACTGACCTGTACACTTAAAAAAGGTTAAAATGGTAAATTTTATGTATGTTTACACACACACAAAGTACAGGGAGCTGTTTTATGAGCCCCTACATACCCATCAGCCAGCTTCAACAATTATCATTCTGGGTTCTCACTTGAGTTTGGAACCTTCTAAGTATCTTTACTGATTCCTTTTGATAGATGAGGAAACTGCAGCTCCAATGGTCATGGGTAAGAGGTGAGGCCATGAATGGACTGCGTTTCCCACTACTCACTTCCCCAGTGGGTTGTCCACAGACCTCGGCTCTTTTCCACACCAGCTCTTCCATTCAAAGACCCATTCAAAGCGTGTGATTGACGGAGCCTGTCCTGGGCTGTGTCCTAGATGCCTGGTCTCTCAAG